GTGGAGGGACAGCGCAGGAGGGGAAGGCCCTCTATGAGGTGGATTGATTCAGTGACTGGGATAATCGGGATGGGAATGTCAGAGATAGTGCGATTGGCACAGGACAGAGCAGTTTAGGGCTGTTGTACATAGGGTCGCTATGAGTCGCAAGCGACTCGACAGCACATAACAACAACACTGTCAAGATGGAACTGACCCACTGCTGACCCTCCAGCGGGTTTTCAGAGGCACTGTATCACAAGGGAGAAGGGTGCCTATCTTTCTCCCAAGGAGTAGCTGGTGGACTTGAACTGCATGCCTTGGTTGACACCACAGTTTCTTACCACTAGGCCAGCAGAACTCCCTATTAGAACTAAAACCTCATTGCTGTTGAGATGGAAGCAATTCATGGCTGACCCTCTATGAGGATTCTGATACTGTCAATCAGATATGAGAAAAATGCCAGAGGCACCACCTTTGGGTTAGCAACTTTCTACAGACCATGCCACCAGAGCTCCCTAAACCAGTTACAGCTAGGAACTGTAAATTTACCTCCATTGTGTGTGTCTTCCCAGAGGATGTCTGTCCATATGCAAATATTGTTCCGTTGTAGCCCTCCAGTACATCTACAAGAAAATAAAGAGATTTTATACTGAAGAAGATTTTTCCCATAAGTCTCAAAAGAAACTACTTAAGTAAGCTACAGAAAAAAAATCATGTTTACTTTTAGTGATACAGAAAATATCCTAAAAATAAACAAGCCCACACACATGTAACTCCTTGCTTATAAAAGATTTATTAGACATTAAAGGATATAAATAAAAAATAGATTTCATTTTCTTAGTGACTAGTAATTTTCTAAGTTCTTTTTATCATGAAGAGAATAGTTTCTGTGGTTAATAAAGAATTTTTTAAAAATTTTGCTTATAATTATCTCATGTGTAAATGTATTGATCTGTATTCTAAAATTATTTATGATGTATATAAATACAAACTATTTTTTACAAACTGGACTACTGACTGAGAGTCAAAATTATCTATGCTATATGTAAAGAAAAATTATTTTTTACAAACTGGATTACTGATTGGTAGTTAAACCAACCTCACAAACCTATGCTTTTGTCTTTATCCCACTACAGTGTAACAAGTTCAGTTCTGCCTCAAAAATCATTTACTACAAAGATTCTCGCCACTGGACCAATTGGCAGCGTCAGGATGGATGAAGAAGAGATTGAGATTGTTCACAGCTTCAGTTTGCTCGGCTCCACAGTTAAC